ATCCCTTATATACATACCAGATGGCCACTGCTAATCAGATTTCGAATGTTAAAACCCTTTTTCTAATGTCTGACGTCTCAACAACAAACAGGAGTTTCATTAGCTTCACATGTGCTTTTAATGTCGCACACTTTCCTGAAAGTCTTACTAATGTTGTAACAGGGAAAATGTTGGAAGGTATAATAAATTTATGAGAAATTATAAAGAAACACACTCCCTTCCTAATGAGAGATATAATGTAACAAATATTGAGAAAGGTTCTAATGATGTTGGATTGTCAAGTAAGCCAAGTTTCCGCCACACATTACAACTTGTGACCATGAAGCTCTAGACTGCCAATGAGCTGTAGTTGACCTACACATTTTAACTACTTGTTTCTTGCATGTTGAAAGTTAATGTCTATAAAAATGATTCAAATATGCTTCAAAGAAACTTCTACATACTGTATTTGTTGAGAGGCTTTTTGAATAAAACAGAGAGTAGTATGCCTCTATACTGTTAACAAATAAAGAAAATCTTTTCAAAAACAATGCAAATGCCATCCATCCCTATTATCTCGTTTACATTGTTTTTGAAGGATTGATATTAGCCATCCCTACATTTACTTCCTTTTTGAAAAGCTTTTCTTTACTTGTTTTCATTGTATTTAGAACTTGGTTATAAGCACAACTTTCCTATGTCTACTGAAACAATGCAATAAAAAACAAGCAGGGTACAACTGTAATATCTATTGTTTATCTATTATTGACTGATACTTCCTGTTTCACCCTATACTTAAACGTTTTAAAAAAACACCAAATTTCTGTACTAAAGCTAAATAGAAGGCATAATGATAACATTGTTTACACTAGAATTATGTTGTTGTTTTTTATTACTACTAGTTATTAATAATACTTACACAAGCGGATATTCCATTTAAAACTATGTCATCTCAGTGAAATTGGTTCACACCATTTTATTATTTTGGTTTTGGAGTTAACATGTAATAAAAAAGAAGAACAAGAAATTCAAACTTTTTTTGCTATGATATTTACAGACATTCACAGAACTTTTGACTCAGTCATTACATAGATATTGTTATAAAACAAAATACTGGATAGTGTTGTAAAGTTCTGATGACCTATTGAGAAGAAATTTAAAAATACAATTTTGGTGAACAATCCGAGCTATCAGTACATAGGCAGTGCTACTGCTTGCCTGATATCATCACTAACCACAACAATAATCACTCATTTTTACTATGGACATAGTTAAGTTGCTAAGCCATTTGAGAAATTACATACACATTAGCTACACTAACTTAATAATTCCAAAACGTATCCCATCAGTAATGGCTGGAGATGCCTTGAATGGGTAATGAAGAAAAACTTTAATATAAGTTTAACATAACAGCAAATGTACAACGTCATTACCCATTCAAGCCATCTCCAGCCATTATTAGTCTCAAAGTGGGTTCCTCGTCATCGAATTATCCCATCTGTGGTTATTATTCATTGCTATCTGTGGAAAAATAACACAGGCTACCTTGGGCTGGGAAAAATGAAGGAATTATTGAGAGAAGGGTTTGAAATTAGATACACTAAAATACAAAGCAACTGAAATAAAATAAAAAATTGGTACTTTATTAATGAAAATGTGTCATTTGTTTACCAGATTTCAAAATTTTTTAAGACATCAATATCATTTTCATGATTATATATATATATATAAGTAATTTATCAAACAAATTTCAAATAATTTCATATAACAATGTACCTACCAAGCCAAGTTGTTCATATACTTCTGCCTCACTACAAGCATGGTCAACAAGATACTGAATATTATTACTATGTTTAGGAGTCCCTGTAAACAAGAAAAATAACATTTGATTATCTTGTATAATGTGTTACAAGATTTTGTGTGAATTATGCATTAAAGTATCCTTGTGATGCTCAAATCATTCATTATATAATACAGCAAGAGACTGGGTTACCAAGAAAATCTGTGAATTTCCCAAGTTTTATTATGTTAGCCCCTTCCATATCAGGGTTTTTTTTTAAATCAGCTATAAAAAAGTCAGATTTATCATTTCACTTTTTGTATACTTATATATTAATGAAAAAAAAACTACTTTATGATCTATTATATTTCTGCATAAAATACACTTGATAAATAAATGTTATATATATATATATAACATAATATGTATGTAAAATTTATATATTAGTTCAATTAAACTAAAGTAAAGAATAGAAATGCTTTTCTCCAGTGTTTATGATACGTAAGTCAGAATAAATCAAACAGAAATCAGCATAAGTAATATTTTAAATGCCAGCTAGCTAGCAAGAACTGATTGTAATACATGATAAAATGTCAATAAATTTGGACAAATAATTACAAATACAGTGATATATTTTATTTACTCAAATTTACTTGGTCAAATATGTTTTGAAACATCTTTTTTGTTACCTCAAGCTTCAAATTCAGCAACTGGCAACAGCTAACTGCTAGTGTTGTCATTCTATATTGATATGCCACCAAATTCAATTTTATCTAACAATTACTGGTCAAAATAACTGTATAACTGATAATGAAGTATTTATTTCTAACTAAAATTTCCATGTATAATTAATTTTTAGTCTTATTTTTAGAAGAGTTATATTTCAGTTAAATATCGTACATACAATAGTATTATCAATGTAGGTAAAGCCTGTGAACACAGTTCCTCACTGAACTATTATTTTATTTTCCATGCATATAACAACATATATTTAGCAAACTAATGCTGCTTTAATAACTAATATAGCTTAGCATGTAACTTAATTACTCAGAATTTATCACATTTTCAAAAACCTGTCTAAACTGAAAAGAAACACTTAGTAGGCATCACCAAATATTTAGCATGCTGCTTTAGTAACTAATAATTTCAGCAATATAAGCCTTGAAGTTTACTGCAGACAATACAGAAAACAATGGTTGTAATACAGTTATGAACCTGGGCTATCAATGTTTCTTCAGCCTTATTTTACAAAAATACAAATTATATCAGTTATCACTGTTATATAAGCCTATCAATTTGCAAACATACTTACTTTCAGTTAACCATAAAGAATTGCAACTTTTTGTGCAAATACAATTATCTAAGTATGGGCTTGGGTTATGAATATAAGTGTGAAAAATATCCTAATTTATGTTATTTGCCTCTAGCAAATAATGCAAACCATTTGCATATGAATAAGGAGTTATGTCATAGTGGTACTGCATATCTTTATAAGGTACAGAAAATATTTTTAGCTTTGAAATAGTATTGGATATTTAGAAAATTAGTCTGCTAAATTTAATATTTTGTTACATTTATTGTTGATATTTCATAGAATAAATATTTTTTGATCACTAAAATTATATATTTCAATTCACTTCAACCTGTAACATTTTTTCTAACACGTCTGGTTAAAAATGCTTCACTTAACTAAATAAGAGGTAGTAAACATAAGCCAATAATATCATCTCACTTTTTAATGTTTAAGTAACACTTTCAAGTCTTCTGCAAACAGTCATGAAGCTCAATGTCTTAATCACAGCAAACTTTGTTGAATAACACCTGAAAATAACATTCCAAACTGTTCTCTTAAAATGCAGAAGCCCAAATCATTTGGACTTTTTAAAAAAAACTGTATAGTTTTAAAAAAGAACCTCCAAATATTCACTTTATACAACTGGAATCCACCTTACCCTTTTGTTGCTGATATTCTTACAGTCTGGAAACAACTAGTGATTAATCCGCCTTACTCGTTTGTTGCTGATATTCTTTCCAGTCTGGAAACAACTAGTGATTAAGCCACCTTACCCCTTTTATTGCTTATATTCTTTACAGTCTGGAAACATCTAGTGGTTAATCCACCTTACCCATTTTGTTGCTGATATTCTTTACAGTCTGGAAACATCTAGTGGTTAATCCACCTTACCCATTTTGTTGCTGATATTCTTTACAGTCTGGAAACATCTAGTGGTTAATCCACCTTACCTTTTGTTGCTGATATTCTTTACAGTCTGGAAACATCTAGTGGTTAATCCACCTTACTCTTTTGTTGCTGATATTCTTTACAGTCTGGAAACAACTAGTGTTTAATCCACCTTACCCTTTTGTTGCTGATATTCTTTACAGTCTGAAAACATCTAGTGGTTAATCCACCTTACCCTTTTGTTGCTGATATTCTTTACAGTCTGGAAACATCTAGTGGTTAATCCACCTTACCCTTTTGTTGCTGATATTCTTTACAGTTTCAGGTTTTATTGATTTGTTAGAGTTTCTGCCTTGTTTACTTTATCTATGTTGTTCCTAGTTTGTTTGAAATATTGATGTATTTTTGAACATTAATATTTCTAAGTTTCTTGATAATAATTAAATGTTTTGAAGAGCCAAGATGTTATCCTTTCCAAAACAGTTTGACAGTGCTTATGAATGTACAAAAACATGGAAGGTGAATTTTAATTCTGTGTTGTGTAAATTTCTACATTTAATATATGGAAATTTCACAAGTATTTAGAGGTGTTCTTGTGTGAGAAGAACATTGATTCTGTTAGAAAAATCCTGAAGCACTCTGCAGCATGTTTTACCATGGCAAAAAGAAAAAAAACTTAATTCTTGGTTATACAGTAGAAAATCTTTACTTTAGAAATAAAACTATTATTTTAGCTTTGTACAACACATGGTGAGGCCAATTTTCAATATTCTGTACGGTTTTGGGCCCCTTACCATTCAAGGAATACCAGCATGTTGCAATAAGTGAATAAATAGTGTATAAGAATGATTTCTTGGTTAAGTCATGAGAACAAGCAAAAATTAGTTTGGAATTTCTTTTCTTTTGGTGCAAAAGAACTGGACTAGGGAGAGGACTTAATTAAGTTTTTAGTGGTTCAGACATTCTTCTGCATTCTCTGAATAAAAAGGATCTTGGTAGATAAATCATTCAAGCCATGAAAGCAGTGCTCAGTTTCTGTTAGAAAAGCCAACATAATTTTATCGATTGTCTTATAAACAATGATTTTAAGTAAAAAGAGAAAATTATCTCTTTATATCACTAGTTATGCCTACTTGGAATACTGTGTATAGTTTTGATCTCCTTATCTTAGAATTGGAAAGGTTTCTGTTAGAGGAAGACTACTAGGATGAATCCAAGGAGGGTTGAATTGACTTACATGGATAGGTTAAAATATCTTAACCTATTCTTCTCTTAAGAAAAGAGAAGCAAGACATGATGTTACTCAACTTACAAGTCGATAAATAAGTCAAAAACCTCTTATTTCCTTGCTATATTCTAAAGATAGCTGAGAGGACAGAAGTTTCAGATTTTGTAAAGACAAGATAGGCTCTAGTTAAGATGGTTATGTTTTTCTAACAGGTAATGGCTTTACAGAATGAACTGCTGTCTACATTAGTGGAGGCCAGCAGTTTACAGGAGTATAAGATGGGAATCAATAATTCCCCTAAACCAATAACGGCTGGGTTTTTTTTTTTTGTTATGAACGGGTGTGCAACTGCAAGAAGCAGTTTTGAAAGATCAAATGGTTCTTTGTTGTCGCTGTGTTATGTATTATATTTATATTACTAAAATTATTTTAAAAGTTTATGTATTTATGCAGTTAGTTAAAAACAACTCCCATTGTCTCATACATATATGATATAGATATACATAGATGATCTACTTTGATGATGGTCACGAAATCTGAAGCACAAAAACTTTATTGCTATGAGTATAACACGTTTTCACACAACGTCGCAAGTACTCCACACTTGTTTACGTGAGTGAAGAAAATTCGTTATTTATCGTTCTTCCCAACGAAACAAAATTTGGGGGCTTAACACAGAATTTATTCTATTATATTCTTAAAAATATGTAAGATAAATACTCTGTCTCGCTTGTTTATAACTAATAGAAATATAAAGTGACAAAACAGCGTCATTCCAATAGAAAAAATTAACGTCACGTGCCACTGTGTATGGTGAACCTACCGCAATCTGTGAATAATTCATGTAAATCACTTGTAATCGAGACACTGAGTATGGTGGTCGTGAAAACAATACTAATTTTTATTGACGGAAATAAAAATTATAAGTAATAACAACAGCAATGTTGATAATGTAATAATAAATGGATGATATAACGTAGGCCTAACCTTGTACCAGTTATTATAATATAACTTATAAGTGGGATTAATTTCTGAAGTTGTTAATAAACCAAATAATATTAATAGAAAATACTATTTACTTATGTGCAATACATTAGTATAATACTAATAATAATGTATTGTACATACCAGGAAGTGGTTTAACATGTATCATTCCAATAACAGCGTATAAGTCCCTGTTAAATAATTTCTTAAAACAATTCATTTTCCAGCACATTGACTTTACACCGTGTTGTGTAAACTAAGTAACTCGTTTTTAAAGTTAAATTTTCAGTATTCTACCACCTACTAATAAATACATCAACATATCAAATTATTAAATTTAAACACATGTAATGCTAGATCAAGGAGTTCTATACCCTAACATTATAAATTAGTTTTAAAATTTGCTGGATATGTCTGTTTCAACATATCAATGTCACATATGAATTAGGTGTTTTGTTGCTAACATTTCTATACCGTTGTAAATCTTGTACATTTTATAACGATATGATAACAGACGAACAATAATGTGTCGTACGATAAATTGTAGTTTGACAGGTAATATGGGTAACAGAAACTTCTTATTAGTCAACACAAATATATACAGGCATAAAACATTTCAATCTTTTTTCTAGGTTATTTTAAGGTAAGGAATTATGTTTGTTTCATTGATGTTTTATTAATAATCTTTTGATTTAAGTTCCGTATATACCATTCGTCCGTCAAGGCTGTAACTCGTAATTAACTGCACTCCGACCGATCTGACTTTGAGAAAAAATAAAAAGTTATTAAGCTACCTACATATTGTTTGAGGCTCATAACACGGATAGAGAATTAAGAAATGTACTATAAACAGGAAAACTACGTTTCTGTTTAATTAAACACTTAAATCTTCCCTTTAGTTTATTGTTCAGAAATTTATCGATTCCCTTTCTAAATTTTTGTGAATGATAAAGTGCCGATGTGCTACGAAGTCTCATGGCTATTCAAATTTCATCCGGGTAGTAAATATGCCCATGCCTATGACGTAGACGAGACAACCGTCCAAATTCTATCCGCATAACCTTATTCTAGCCGTATATTGCGTGTCTTAAACAATATATTTTAGGTAATACTGGGTTCTTTTTTTCGTTATTATATGAAATTATAATTGTTTATATCATTTTGTGAAGGTAATTTTATTTGAGTACTTGTTTTAATTCATAAATAATATTGGTTCTGTCATTCTGTATCAACTAACAAACACACACCATGCGGGTCACTGATATTTCTCGCAAAGTTAGTGTTAACCGTGATTCCGAAATGGTATTACTTCATCTCACACAAACCTATCTCGACCTTCTTTTGTCTTCTAAGTATTGCTAAAACTTTCAAAAGCTCACCAGTCTTTTATACCCCTATATTTCTTGCATCATTGCAGTAACATATGCTGATCATGTGACTGCTCTCCATCAACTATAGTGCGCCCTCTATACAATCTTCACTTTCGAGAATTGGTATAGATAAATCAGAAACACCGGTAAATCAGTGGGGAGGAATGGTGGGAAGTGTGTGATAGGAGAAAAGTACCTATTGGAAATACATTTTCAGTGTTAGAAAATGTTAACTTCCGAAACGGTACTACCTCCACTCACACAAAACTAAAATTCCACATTGTAAGAGTAGAGGGGTCGGTGAAAGCACAAAAAAAAAACAGTCAGACAAGCGAAGAGCAACCGCCAAGTAAAAATTAGGTGTGCTGCAAGTAAAATAAAAGGCACCTACAGGGTATAGCACTACTTCTGGAACAAGTATACTCTTCGCCCAATAAAGTAAAAGGAAGACATATGACAGAATCGAATAGAATACATGGCTAGGGCTACAGGACCGTATATGAATAGGCCAATTGCAGTCCACCCAGGCAGAAAACATCAAGGGGAAGCGTATTATGCCAAGTGCAGTTCAAAGACAAAAACAACATGGGAGGACCTTGCATAAGTATGTAAGATTAACAAGTGTGGTCCACCCGGGCAAAAACATCTAGGGAAGTGCCTTGGATTGATATCAAGATAGCCAAGTGTGGTCAGCCTGGGCAAAACATCTTAAGTATAAACACCTTGGTATATGTTAGAGTATGTCAAGTGTGATCCAACTGGGCAGAAAACATCCAACGGAAGTGCCTTGCATATTATTTTCTGTTTTATATTTTGTACACAAGAGATGTTGAGATCAACAAGTTTGGTCTGCCCAGGCAAAAAAACATTTGGGAGAAGTGCCAAGTGCAGTCCATCTGGAAAGAAAACATCTAGTGGAAGCACCTTACATAAATAGTGGAAGTCGTGATCAACAAGAGCCTTGTATTGATAATATAATAATAATAGTGTATAATATGAAGTATATAGACCTCTTCTCACTGAGTGGGTACATATGACAATGAGATTGTTTTATCGTAAAAATCCCACTCGTGAAGAAACCTCCATGATCCACCACTTCAGCGACTGGGAACTGGAAGAGGCTCCACTAGAAAAAGAGGGGGGAATACGCGTTTGGGGGTCTGGAGAAACGACCCACCAGAGACAGTGCAATGGGTGTCTGTGTTTTCCTGTTTAAAACAGAAAGACCGAGATTGTAAGAATCACAGGTCAGTAGGGATGGGCAAAAATCCCCATTGCTTTACTCATGCAGTTCCTGAGTGACAGCCCTCATTGTATATATAGATAGATAGATAGACAGATACTATTTATAAAATGTGATATATAGATATACCACCAAATAAGTGGCCAGTGATCTTAGAGAAAACACCCCAATCACCACAGTGAGCATTATAAAAGTATACAGATATAGTGCTAAGATATAAAATTTAGCATACCTGACCAAGCAACTTCTGCCACCAGGTGTTATCCTGAAATATGATGTATAACAATGAAATAAAGTGCAAAAAATAATATGATGACTTACCCCAGTCAAAGGTGAACAGACATGTGTAGAATCGCCACAGGAGGAAAAAAGATACATGCCTGAGGAAGATAGAGTTATGCTATGCATAGAAAGAATGACGAATGTCTTGGGAGTTGTCCACATTCTGGTCTGAACGACCTTCTCCACAAAATGACAGTGTTGAGCAGCTAAAGAGTGAGTGAGATGACGAATTTGGTGAGAAGAAACAATATGTAGAGAGTGACTTGCTAGGGACACGTTAAAATATGCCAGTCAGATGAATTGACAAATCCAACCAGTGAGCATAATAGATGAAAAGATTATAGGAAACAGAGAAATTCCATGGAACAAAGAGACAAGAATGACAACCACGAGAGGAGGTAGTATTGGCCATATAACATAGCAGGTAATGAACTGGATAAAGTAGATGATAAAGATCTGAACTGGAGAACAGGTGGTAGAAGGAAGGTAAGGAAATGGGTGAAAAGGAATGCTCGATCCAGGTAATTAATATCATATGAGGAATGTTAAAGGATGGCATAAAAATTAGAATGACGATGGCCACATGCCAGGAGGGGAGGATTTAGGTCCTAAGAGAAAAAAAGGAACAAATTGCAATAGGTTCAAAGGGAGAACCAGACAGGGCATGAAGAACAACACTGAGATCCCAGCCCAGCAGAACAAAGGAACATATTGGATGGACCAGAGGAAAGAAAATAGAAAACTCAGGGAAGATTAAACATTCTGGAAGTGAGCATGGAGGGTGTTGAACAGGGCAGCTCTATAAAGAGCAACAGTTGAAACAGAGAAACCTGGAAGAAACAACCAGATGAAGAACATGGACAGTTGAGGAACAGAAGTACAGAAGGGTCAGAACCCATGGGAAATAGACTAAAGACAGAAGCAAGATCTTTGCCTCTGGTACATAGAAAAAGATGAAGGCAAATGGTACAGCCAAGGGAAAATGCAACACGAAGGCATGGGACTGGACAAAAGTCACACAGAAAGATGAAATGTGGTGACATCAGGATGAAAAACGTCAGATCAAGGTTGACAGAGGAGCAAACAGGACAGAGAAAAGGACAGGGTCTGTTGCTCCAGTAAGGATCAGAGCAGAGGGAACTATGCTGGAGTCAGCCAATCTGGAACAACCAACAGAGCACTACAAGGATAATGTCTGGATAAGGTAAAAATGCCAGAAGAGGAGTCAGATTGGAGGGTAGGCATATAGGGATGAACCCCTGAGCTGAGGCACGTAACCAGACAAAAGTCACTCGGAAAAATGGAGTGTGGTGATGTTGGGATGAAAACAAAGTCAGATCACGGTTGAGTGAGAAGTGGACAGGAGAGAGAAAAAAGGGCATGGTTTGATGCTCCAGTAAGGGCCAGAGCAGAGAGAAACACGCCTGATCAACCAATTTGGAAGAACCAGTAAAACACAATTAGAAGAGTTGTTGATAAGGGAAATGATCCAGAAGTTGAGTGAGATTGGAGGGTAGGCATATAGGTGAAGACCCCTCCAACCTTGACTGAAAGTATTCATCCCAGAGCTGAGGGGTGAGGAACTGAAGACCCAAAAAGAAGAAAGTTTGACACACATAAACTCATAAATATACGCAGTGTTCTCCATTGAGAACAAACCCACAGAAAAACGTGATGATGAAGAGATAACACTGTGGATAACCTGGTTGGAGCGTGATAAGAGATTGGCCACAAGATTCAGAACTTGGTGAACATTACATGGGAGAATAGTCACGTCGTAGTCATGAGCCTAGTACACGAAATCTAGAGTATGAACAGACCAAGATCTCTACACCCTGGCTTGGTGAGAAATATTACAATAACGGAAATGTCAGAATGAACCATAACCCCCCTCCCCTGCAGAAATGAGAGGAAAGGACACAGAGGATGAACCACCAAACGTTCCAGGATGTGGATATGGAGAGTAGCCTCCTTAACTAACCCATCAACCCAAAAACTCTGGGGAGTAAAAGAAAATGGGATGGTCCAAGGGATCATGAGGGAAGATCCACTGGTCGACAAGCATCCAAGAAAGGGAATGCACCTGTGCCTGAACCAAGGGAATGAACCCTTCCAAGGAAGACCACATCCCCGAAAAATAGAGAACATCACATACCAAAGAGAAGGAGAAAGTATGGTGAATGTGATTGCCCACTTGATATCCTGGAGCTGAAGTAGAGAAGGCTAAGCTTAACCATGAAATGAAGTGAAGATAATCCTCAAATGAAAAACACGCTGCAAGGGGATAGAAAAGGACTTCTCCACCCAGAAAAGGAACCCCACCCGAGAAGCTTCTTGAAGAAGGAAGCAGGTGTTAGTGACTGACTGAGCACAGGAAGAGGCGAGCATAAGCCCAGCAAGTGAAGATGATGTGAAATAGAACATACCACTCCACAAAACACAAATAGAGCTGAATAAGGACAGACTGGGAGCACCCACAATTGGAAGGCAAAATCCACATAGAGGAACTGAAGAAAAAAAATTTGTTGCTGGGGAAAGACCAGTGAAGGGACTGTAAACTCCCGGGTATTTGGAGACAAAAATCTGGTTGAGTAGGCACCACCCGTTTGATGGCTCATTTGTATAGTAGGACTCGAACAGACTAGGCAAGATGACTGGCCAAGGTATGATCCCAAGGATGAGTGAAGGAGATTTGGAAAGTGGGTAGAGAGAGATCCCATATAAAGAACGAAACTGTCACAAAGTGTAACCAAAAATACACATAAACAAAATAATTTAAAGAAAGTACTCAGAACTAACAAACATTATAAATGTGTAGAGTCTACAAAGTGCATAAAAATAACAAACCTGCAAAGCTATGAAAATCTACCTAAGACAGAAAACAAGAAGTAACACCTAAAGTAAATAAAAACCACTAAAGGGACTGATAAGATAAAATACCTTTAAATATAAAACTTATAAGTCCACTCAAAGAAGCTATAAGACAAAGATCACAAAAATGAAACCTACCCTAAATAACATGAGAATATAACAAAAACAGTGTGACTCGAAACCTATCCCCAATTAGATGTGACTAGTAGTAAAGGACAAAGAACTTACTACTAAATAACGTTAGCAATGAAAAAAATTAAAGAGAGAAACAAACTCCAAACACAATTTTAAACTAAACTAACTTAGATGGTAAAATAAGTATAAAATTCTAACTTACCCAACACTAAACGGAAAAGACATGAATGACGTAAATTATCCATCCACACAAGCTTACATAAACTCACTGAACATCGGTATAACTGTATAACATATACTCACTGAAAAACTTACCAGTGATCTCCTGGGGAAAAGAAGAATACCTAACTTGAAAGAAACAATCGCCCGCCGAACTCCCCGCGAACTAAAGCCTATGTCTCCCCCAGCAGACATCGTCGACCCTGAGACTGAGGACAAAAGTTAGGACCATTGTCTAATTATGGCAGGAAATTATCAATCGCCATATTAAGTCTCCAATTCATAAGAACAAAGTTGAATTCGGGAAACAGCAACATTTCAGAAACAAACGAGTAGAAACAATGGAAATCAAACACAAGAAGTCGAAACTTAAAGTTGAAACTGATATTCTAATCTTTAACGTCGTGTAAAGTGAAGGACGATTGCTAATCTTTGAACACCCTTGGTGATTAATAATTTTTCTCTAAACTATTAACTTTACACCAAAATAACTGCCATAGACCATAGACACACTGACCTGAAAACGAAAGACTTTCGAAACGTCGTCCTCTATACTTGTGTTTCTAAAACAAGCAGTTGCCGTCCATTCAACAATTTTCATCATGAATACTCTGCCTAAACAATCTATCACAGAATTGTCCTAAGTTGTTTGGTAGAAGGTGTGGGAAACAAGTATGTTAGGTTCTATAGTGCTGCATTGATTATAATGCAGCACCTCCTTAGGAGAGATTTTGCTAAAAAAAATATACTGTAATTTGTTAAATGTAGCATTTATTTTAATTTAAATTAAATTGAAAAATCCATATTAATCATGTCAGAAACAAAAATGTGGAGACGCACAAATAATGTCAGGTAGCAACTCTGAAACTTCACCACAGAACATTATTAAAATATACAAACAATCCACACAACCAATAATCGAATATGCTAGTGCAGATGGATAAACATAGCACCAACTTTAAATTTTAATCAAAAGACAGTTACAACCAATGGCAATACAACACTCGATAGTCACTGCAGTATATAAAGTACTGTTACGTCTCCGTTAGTTAGTTAATTTTCCGTAAATTCGTTCCGACG